CATATTTTTCTCACTTTATATCATGAGGAAATAGGTGATGGAGGGGAACGGACCAAGCTTACCTGCGTTAGATAGAACAGTTCCAATGTTTGTTTCCTTATTCAAAATCTGAGAGAGTGATTAAAAAAGAAAAGATATGATGATTCACTCTTCAAAAAAGCACTTAAAAAAGATTTTTTAGTAATTATTAACATTTAGTTGGTTGGTTATGTGATACATTAAGCAATAATCACGGGTATGCAGGGTTAGAAGAAGTTTTTTTTTTATTGTTTCAATGTATAGTTAAGTTTTTTAAACAAAGTTGATTTATTACTGGCCTGATTAACATAAGCCACGTTAACCTTAACTAATGCATCACAGAAAAAAATAAAAGAGGAATCAGTTTAAAGCATAAAAAAGAGTCTAATTTCATATAATGTCAGGATGAGCGTAGCTGTTTCAGCCCAATCATCAGGACTCACCATCCTCTGCAGCTTTTCTGCAGCCAAGGTTTTGGTGCACATCACGTGCAGCTTGCAGCTGTTGATCTATAAAAACAAAGCAAAAAAAGATTACATTCGCTTTCCATACTTTCTAAACTGAAGCTTTTTCATTGAGGTGAAACTTTTATTGCAGTAATCGAGAGATAACAGCTGGAAGTCTTTACCGTGGGAGTGAGTTGGAGGCATTTGTCGCTGTTCGGTTTTCTGCTGCTTCTGCTTTTCCGCTCAGAATCCATTTATTTACTCAAAGGTTCCTTCAGTTGACTTTTTCCAAACTGTGACGGGAAAATATTTCTTCGTCTTTTTTAATGCTTTCTGCTTTGTTTAGCTAAAAAAGGAGGAAAAAAAAACTGACGCCAAAAGTGTTGTCTGTTACCATAGCGACAGCTGAACTGGACTTCCGGTGTCAATTTAAAACCCCTCCCCCCAAAAAAAGATAAACAGACTTCCTCTCACAGTGAAATAAATGTCGAGGTTTTCTTTTCTTTTCATTTCTGTACACTTTAATAAACCTTACATCCAGTGGCGGTTGTAGACCAAATGTACCTGGGGGCCTGGAGGGGGCCAGAGTGTTTTCCTGGGGCACAGAAAAGCATGAAATAAAAAAAAACAGGGCAAGGATTGAAATGTATTAAAATAAATGCATGAAGTGAAATTTCTATTCAATTAGGTTTAATAAAAATTCTCTTTCTTATTAGGTCAATATACATTCATAATTTAGGGATTTTAGATATTTTTCACTTAATTTAGGTTAAAATTATCATTTTATATACAATCTGAATGAGAGCTAAAAAAAAAAAAAGCTGATTAATTCAGCTGTAAAAATTAGAGTTGTTTTTTATATTTGTTTTGAAAAAAAAAACATTTAGCAAATGAAAACTGGGATCCTATCTCAATACCACTGAAGCTATCAACTTATTGTTTTTAAAAAATTAATAAAACATTATTTGTAAAGAAAAAAAATAAATAGATTCAAAGGACCTATTAGTAACCATTGCTGTTCCAGCGCATATCATAATTAGAATTTCCTTTAAGAATTATTTCTTCAGTACAGGGGCCATAACAGGGGCCAGGACATGATTTACAGGGGCACTGGTCCCCATTGGCCCCTATCTAGAACCACCCATGCCTACATCCGTAACCAGCCATTGTTTCCAAACAAAACATAAAATACAGTCTAAACTCCTGAAATAAAGGAGCAGAAAGAAAAATGTTACGTTATCTGCCATCTTTTGCTAAAACAATTTACATTTACAAAAAAAAAATAACAACAAGAAAACACTGATAATTGAAATATACATAACTGAAAAAAACCCTAATGAAATAAAATAGATGATCTCTAAGACTCATAGTTGGATTATTTTACTTTTTTTTTCACCTGCATACTCTTAAAAGATAAGATTTTACAGAAATTGTTTACTTTGCATTAAAATCAGGCATAAGTAATATATTTACTCAGCAGAACAGCTTATATTATCCTTCTAAGTGTAAATATTTATTGTGATTCTTTAGTTCAGATTGTTCCATAAACTGATTCATCCCACAGAAACAGAGCAAACCGTCACCTTTGTTCTCAATTAGTTGTTTTTTTTTTGTTTAAGATCCCATTTCCTTTTAAACAATAATTCAATCAATCAATCAAGTTTATTTGTATGGCCCTTTACAATAGCCAAATGGTACCCAAAGTGCTTTACAACAAAGCCATAAAACAATACATAACACATACAAGACAAACAGATACAATTAAAAGTGCTGCAGTGGTGCAGCGCTGCAGGACATTAAAAGCCTTCCAGAGGTGCATAGAAAGAAGCACACAGAAAGAGGACATCTAAGAGACAATATTATCCTAGTCAGAATTAAATGCAAATTTTAAAAAAGTGGGTTTTAAGCTTTTTTTAAAAAGGCTGAGGTCAGTAGTGGTGCGGATGTCAGGGGGTAGTTTGTTCCACAGTCTGGGAGCAGCGACGGCAAAAGAACGATCACCCCACTGTTTGAGTCTTGACCTACAGTAGGGACGTCTAACAGAAGCCGACCCGAGGAGCGTAAAGCTCTGCCACAATTGATTTCTTTTTTTATATTTTTTCTGAATCTTTAATGGATATATGTTTGATCTTTAAACAGTGTGTATAAAATAATACAGTCTACAAATTAATTACATTTCAATCTTTTTAACTGAAGATATAGTGGATTCGCAGCCACTTAAAGCTACAGTGCGTAACTTTTAGCGACATCTAGCGGTCGGAC